ACGGACACAGACTTCTCTCAAAGCACAGGCCCTGGCAATTTGGACATCATGGTGGTAATAGGGCAGGTTCATGCTGTGGAAGTTCAAATCTGGAAGGCGGGTGCTGGGGGGGAGGAGGGGCAGGGGTCCTGTGGCTCCGCAGGGGAGCACGGCAGCATGTATGCAGTAGCGTGTCTGGCGCTGCACAAAGCCATACACGCTGGTCTGAGTGGCACGGTAAGGGGGCTGGGGGGTTGGAGAAGGGGTAGGGGGTTCGGGGGGGCAGTCAAGGGACAGGCAGCAGTTGGATAGGCATGGGAGTCTCAGGGATTTGTCAGGGACAGGTAGGGGGTGGAGTCCTAGGGTGGAAGTTGGGGGGGGTCTCAGGAGGGGGTAGTTGGGGACAAGGACCATTGGGGCTTAGATAGGGGGAGGGGTCCTGGGGGGCAGTTGGGGCAGGGGTCCCAGGAAGGGGTGATCAGGGGACAGGGAGCAAGGGTATTGGATGTGTTGGGGTTTCTGTAGGGGGCAGTTGGAGGGAGTGAGCGGGGGCAGGGTGAGGCTACTCTCCCTCCCTGTGAAGTGTCCTATTTTTTGAATGTTAAAATATGGAAACCCTTCTCACAGTGCAGCTCTCCATTCATAGCAGGCTGCAGCATGAGGTCTCAGCTTCCTCACTCCCTCCCCCTTTCCTGTTGGTAGTGGCCAACAGAGTGCTGGGAAATGTAGTTCTTTCCCTGCTCCAGGACTGGCTCTATAGGTAGGGAGCTAACCAAGGAGCTACAGCTCCCAGGGCCCCCTGTTGGTTCTTAGCTCTCATGCTGGATCCCTGCCGCCCCTGCAAATGGGCTGCCCCAAGCACGTGCTTGCTTTGCTGGTGCCTAGAGACCGGGCGGGCTCCAGGCACCAGCCTGGCAAGCAGGTGCTTGGGGCGGCCACTCCGGAGGGGGCGGCACATCCAGCTATTCAGCGGCAATTCAGCGGACGGTCCCTCACTCCCGCTCGGCGCGAAGGACCTCCCGCCGAATTGCCGCTGCAGATCGTGATCACGGCTTTTTTTTTTTTTTGGCTGCTTGGGGCGGCCAAAACCCTGGAGCCGGCCCTGCCTAGAGAGAGCCGCCCCTGCAAACAACTGATCACCATCCTCTTTATAACAGCCCTTAACATATTTTAAGCCTATCAGGTTCCCCCTCAGTCTTCTTTTCTCCAGACTAAATATCCCCAGTTAATTTAACCTTTCCTCATAGATCAGGTTTTCTAAACCTTTTATCATCTTTATTGTTCTCCTCTGGGCTCTCTCCAATTTGTCCACATCTTTCCTAAAGCATGGAGACCAGAATTGTACATAGTACTCCAGCTGAAGCCTCACCAATGCTGAGTAGAGCAGGACAATTACCTTTAGAGTCTTATATACAACACTCTTGTTAATACACTCCACAAAATTATATTAGCTTTTTTCACAGCTGCATCACATTGTTGACTTATATTCAATTTATGATGCACTGTAATCCCCAGATCCTTGTCAGCAGCATTACCATGTAGCCAGTTATTCCCCATTTTGTATTTGTGCATTTGATTTTTCTTTCCTAAGTGAAGTATTTTGCACTTATCTTTATTGAATTTCATCTTGTCGAATTCAGAGCAATTCTCCAATTTGTCAAGGCCACTTTGAATTCTAATCTTGTCCACCAAACTGCTTGCAACCTCTCCCAGGTTTGCTTGCATATTTTATAGGCAAGGATGAATTGTGGGACTGGCAGTTAGAAAACAGCATCTTTTTACTTGTAAACTCAGCACATGTGTTCCCATATCGCTGAGAGATGATAAACATGGAGCCCCAGAGTGCAATTAATAGAGAGACACTTTTCAAAGGAGAGGTGCACTTTATGCCTAATGTAAAGCACAGTCAGAATCAGAAAGAAGACTCTGACTACCAGTCCCTGGCCTTCTATCTCATTAATGTCAACTTTTTCAAAAGCTTGTGCATGTGCACACGG